TGCACGCAACTGCCGATGGAGGCCAAGATAGTTCGGTTCCTCTGAGACAACCCCTCGCTGTCCCCGAAGTACGCGCTAACCATGAACGTGGGGGAACTGAGAACCCCCAGGAACCTCCACAACACCAGCCACAGCACGTCCAGGAAAAAAACTCAGCACCAAAATCAGGGAGACGAGAACCGAACAAGTTACGGACCAGGATGGCGACCTCTCCACTAGCTCCGCCCCCAGAAGCGAACTCCGCCTTCAAAAACTTGCTCTTCCAGCCTTGATGGTAGCACCACTGGGATGCCTCATCGCAGTCGGGACCTGGAAGAAGACGGTGTTCCTGAACCAGAAGGACCTGCGCCAAGGATCTCTGGACCCAGGACTTTATCGAGGGCCAGGCCGTGCAATTGACTGTCTCGACCATCAGCTGGTGATGTGCTGCTGGGCCGGCTGGGGGGCCCGTATAATTGGCGGGATCTGCGCCCTCTGGAAACTTACATGGGCGCCGCCCGGCCCCTCGAAGCACGCGCTTGGGAACCTGGGATCCCACTTTAACGTCAGTTCTCGAGGCGCTGACAGCAGAAAAACCGGCAGAGGGTGCGCATGCACCGTGGGCGGCCGCTGCCCTCGTCGGCCGAGGCTCCGACCCCGCCTGCTGGGGCGAAAAACTGGAGCAAGACAGGTGCCCAGCAGAGGCGGCGGAACCACCGACGCAGATGAAGCATGGGGCCAGGTGTTGACCGCTGGCAGCCGGCGACTTCAGAGGAGGAGGGAAAGCAGGAAGGGGAGGGGGGGGGCGGGAAAGGCGCCGAAATCGGGCAGTCCTGGAGGGGCGATTCATGCCAGGAATTGCCCTTGCGGTCTGCAGGGCCGACGGGGGGCGCACCGTCAGACCAGGGGGGGAATTTGGCACCGCTGGGGCGAGGCACAGATGCAACAAATGCCCAGCGCCTGCAGGTGTGGCTCTCAGAAGGAGGCCGCGCCCAGGAGGGGGCCTTCCCCCCGAGGCAGATAAAAAAGTTAGCATCCTGACAAATGCCAGGGCGCGGCGCGCTGCTGGCTGAAAAACTGGCGGCGCTCATCTGCTCGACAGGCACATGGGCTAATTGCTGATGTGCACTCCATGGGTGAATCCCCTCCCCGGCCGCAAAAAAAGCCCCCGCAGCACACTCGAGCAAAAAGACTGCGCCGCAGCTGCAGCGGCTGGTAAATAGAAGCTTCTGCTGCTGAGATACTGGCGCGAATCAATCAATCGATCAGGCTGCCAGCTGCCAGATTCACGCACCCTTCCCCCCCGCAACTCCCGCTGCGGGGGGGCGGTCATTGGACAAAACGGCCTCGGCGCGCTTGCGAACATCGTCCGCAGGAGCGGCCGCCGGGCCCGAAGCTGATGTAGGAGGCTTCCTGGCCGCCTCAGCCCCTTCAGCGCTGGTAGCCGGCGGAGGCGATGCCTCTGCGCCGGAGCCGTCAGCGCCGCCTGGGGCCGCAGAGGGAACTCCTCCAGCCTCGCCCATGCGCCGCTTCTTGGCCACCAGCCTGCGCATGTGCTCCTCGTGTGCCATGCGCGCCTCCGCCGCCTGCTTGACCAGCGGGCCCAGGAGCTCTTGGGCTGCTCGCTGGATGTGGTCGCCAAGCTGCTGCTTCCTCGCATTGATCTCTTCCATGTCGCTGGATACGAGCTCCTGCTCCACCGACGCGTCGGCCACCAGCTCGTCCAGGTTGATGAGGTCCGCCAGGTTGAAGCTGTCTCCGACCAGCTCGCTGAGCTTGAGCTGCGGCTTCGGAGACTCCGCAGAGTGCGCCGGGACCTCTGGCTTAGGCGGAGCAGCCTGAGCCTGCAGCTCCTGCACGTTTGACTTGTAGACCTTATCGGCAGCCTCCAGATCTTCGCGAACAGATTCCACGAAACGGACCTGGTCTGCGACGTCTTGCTGCCACTGCTCCAGCTTCGTGAGCGCTGAAGAGAGCTTCTCCTCCAAGAACTGTATATGCGCGTGGCTCTGCTGGATCCGCTGGCGCACAGGAACCTCAACCGGGTGCTTCTCGGCGCAGAGGCGGTCGGCCAGATCCTTGTACCGGGTGGCGCTGGTGGCGTCGCCTGCCTTGAGCGACAGGGCAGCCAGCTGCCGCACCTCTTCCTCCGACAGCTGAGGTTGAGCTCCCACTGCGAGCGGCTGTGGAGGTCGACTTCCCTTGCCTGCTCCAAGCACCGGCATTGGAGCTCCTTTACCTCCAGCTTTGCCTGCACCATCACCGCCAGGCACCTGCCCTGGAAGAGCAAACACACGAGGAGGAGGAAACGAAGCACAGGCACCCCTCGCGGGAGGGGGATCCTGGACGCGCATTTGTTGAAATCCCGCGTCGCAGTGCTTGCAGAACCTCGCCTTGACATCATTCTTGTTGCATCCACAATGGCGACATTTGAGCGTGGGGCCGCCCGGGCCTCCGCCGCCCTTCTTCTTATTCCGCTTGGAGCCTCCCGCACCGCCAGGAGAGCCCCACTCGCCCGTGTACGTGTAGTCACCGCTTTTCCACCAGGGACGCCACGCCTCGCTTGAGCCATGGCCCTGCTGGGGGGACATGCGGTGGAGAACGAACTACGCCTACCGAGCCTTGGCCCGTTGACGCAGCGCCGCTCTGAAGTTCGCGCCAACAATCGCAGGCTGACTGACAGAAAACCTGCGCCAGAACGGCTAAGGAGGACGAGGAGGAGGAGCAGGAGGAGGAGGAGGACGAGGAGGAGGAGGAGGAGGAGGAGGAGGAGGAGGAGGAGGAGGGGGGAGAGTCAGAGAAGGAGGGGGGGGAGGAGGAGGAGGAGGAGGAGGAGGAGGAGGAGGAAGAAGAGGAGGAAGAGGATGAGGATGAGGAGGATGATGAGAGAGGGGAAGGAGTGGTGGCAGTAGCAGTTGCAGTAGCAGAAATGGTGAAAACCAGTGGCAGCATTTTAGTAATAGTGGTAGTAACATGGGCAAGAGTGAGCAACACGCGGGGCAACATGGTGGGAAACCCACGACACATTCGCGTCGTGTCGACCCCAGCGTTGGTTCTGGACACCGCGGGGGCCCCCAAGCTTGTACGATCGGCCGTTTCAGAAACGCCAAATCGTTCAACGATGGTTGGGCCGATTCTGGGCCACGGGCGGCGTTCAACGCCCGCGCTGGGGTCGCCGCTGGTCGACACGACGCGAACCTACCGGTCGCGGGGCCCCGCGGCAGCGGACAACAAAACACACCACCGCCGACGGGGGACGCGGGACCCACCGCCGACGACGGGGGACCTTGGGCGTCGCTTATTGTGAGGGCGGTACATGGGGTGCAAGAAAGGTGCACTTTTCGGGCCCTACAGGCCCCCCCTTTTGGATCCTGAGGGGCCCTCAAGGGCTCCCTTTCTGCAGCCCTCGCTGCCCCCCCATTTGTCGCCCCCCTCATTACCCATTACGCGACGCCTGAAGTCGAGGAGACGTCGGGTTCCGGGGACTCGGGTCCTGACGTGCGGGCGCCGAGAATGTACACCACCACCACCACCACCACCACCACCATCACCACCTTCGTTCCCCCCCTCCCCTCCTCCAGTCCCTTCTTCTTCTCCTTTTCCCTTCTTTCGTGGAAAATGGAGGGGGTGAGGGAGGCGGTGGTGGTGCATATCCGTCGGCTCCCTTGTGGGGCCACCAGGCTGCATGACGAGGTTGCTGCTCCCTGCGCCAGCTGCCTGCAATTTCAAGTCTCCAACGTTACAGTCCTGCTTTCCGCTTCCTACTGTAATTTGCTGGAGTCCGCGCGAGGGGAGGGACCCCCAAACCAGCAATTTACCACGCCCAAATCGCGCTGCCTGAATTCCTGGGGGGGGGCGTGGGACACGTAAAAATACGGGAGACTCGCGCCCCCGAGGCCATAATCCCTCGTCGGTTACAATGTTCGTCCCCGAGGCCACAAACCCTCGTAAATTGTGCAATGTTTGCGTCCCCGAGGCAGCAAACCCACATACAATACGCCATATTCGCGCCCTCGAAGCCATAACCCTGTATGAATTAAAGTTATTCGCGTCCCCGAGGCCACAAACCCTCGCAAATCATTCAGTTCTTGCGTCCCCGAGGCGACACACCCTACGCAGTAAATTACGCAATGTTCGCGTCCACGAGGCCATGAACCCTCGCAAATTACGCCAGATTCGCATTGCCGAAGCCAAGAATGCTCCAAGGCGCCCGAAGATGGCTCCAAGACGGCCCAAGAGGGCCCCAAGAGGCCCCAAAAGCACTCCAAGAGGCCTCCCGAGAAAGCCCCGAGTGGCCAACATCGTCGAGTTTACTAAGGTTTTTGAATCATGTTGGCCTTCTCGCATTTTCGGCTTTCCGACGCTGTAAGATGGCTCAATAAGCTCCCAAGACCGCCTCAAGACAGCCCAAGACATGAGCCAGTCTCCTGGGAAGAACGCTGCCCACGCAATGCGCCCCAAAGGCGAGCGGACAAACACGAGAGGGACGCGCGAGGCTCACGAGAGGGGCACATGAGGGACACTGGCCCAGGACACCTGTAATGACGGACCTACGTACCCAAAGCTTGCCACTACAACCCTGTGTGCAAGCCTAGATGGGGAACAACTCGCCCCCTGCTCACACCGACACACACAGACACACACACCATCGATTCTTTGCAGCGATTGCACATACCACGCCTACGGCAATCCCCCCATGGCCCAACCGTCAGACCGCGCTCACGTTCCCTTCGACGCCCGAAATTGGGACGGCATCCTTGGGGGCGACGCCAACAGTAGAGACTCCGACTGATGTTTGAGCAGACGAGTTTCGTCATCGAATTGACACCTCTCGCCTCTAAATTGCTCGCAGATCGACGGAAAAGGTGCTTGTCAGGCATCGTCCCCGTCCCTGCCGTCCCTCCTTGCGGCCCCTGATTGAAGGCGCAGGGAGGGGGGACCGAGGTCCAATCAGAGCAACAGCAACAAGAACGCGGGCATCCTCCTGGCCATTCCCCCCGAGGCGGTGCTAAGCTTACCACTATGCTCATGAAGCAATCACGCGTGACGCTGTGGTAGGAGATCGCCGTGTTGACAGCTTTGCGGACAACGACGGCGTCGTGCAGGCGGAGAATGGTGCGGTCTGCGCGGCAACTCTTCTCGAGGCTGGGGTGGGGGAGCAGGAACGTAGCGTGGAGGATGGAGGGGGGGCCGAGGGGTAGGATTGAAGTACTCGAGGGAAGAGCACGTGGTGTGGTGCAGTCGAGACAGAAGGACGACAGGGAAACATCGGCAAGGACACGAGGGGAAGAGAGGAGGAAGGTCGGAAGAAGAGGTAGGGAGGGAAGCGGCAAACATTGCAGGTGTCTTGTGAGCCCATGGGCGGCGTGAAGCTTCTCGCAGGCCAACCTTCGCACGGACTGAGCCCCGTTTGGAAAAAAAACACGGCGATGAGGCGAGAGCCTCGCTGTGAAAGCCAACCCCTCCATCTGTTGCAAACGTTGAGGACGAATGTCCGGAGCGCTAACGCGACAGCCCCAATTTCAAAACGATATGTGCCCCTTCCTGGTATCGACAGCATTTGGTGCAAACGGTTGTGCGCGGCTCTAGGGCAAGCGCCCCATGTTCACCCTCCCTCCTCAATCCTTGTAGCTGCTGCAAACATGTACGACGAACGTTCGCGGCGCAAGCGGGAACTCCATGTGGAAAGCGACACCCTTCTACCCGTGCAGCTGTTTCACATGTCGAGCTTCACTCTCATATTTTAGCCAACGTGAACCCAAACAATGAGTTCGCGCGCTGAGGAGGTAAACTATATGTGATGAACGCAAATGGATTGTAAACTCTACGATGTGAACCTTGCCGTTTAAGCTATGTAATGCAAGCCATGTTGCGCAAGCTATGCAGCATACGGTATGGTGCGCAAGCCTACGGTGCATGCGATGCTGTCCAAGCTATGAGGTGTGAGCTACGTGACCTAAGCTAGGGTATGCAATGGATGTGATGCGAGCGACGTGGTGCCGACTAAGAAATGCAAGCTGTGCTGTGTAAGCCATGTGGTGTCAGCTACTTGGAAAAGGCTGTGGGTCGTAAGCTGTGCAGTGCAAGCCGTGTAAGGGGTCAGAACTGTTGGTGCGAGCTATGTGGTGTAACCGCACGGGGCGCCCACGGGCGGGCACAGGCGCCAAGGCGGCGAATCCGCGGGAAAAAAACACCCAGCGCACGGGGCGCCCACGAGGCGACTGCGAGCTGGCGCGGGCGCCAACGCGGCGAATCCTCGGGAGGCAAATCCTCGGGAAACCAACCCAGCGCACGGGGCGCCCACGAGGCGCCAAGGTGGCGAAAACCAAGGAAGCTCATCGTACGAAAGCCAAGTAGAGTCAACGCGAATAATAAGGATGCACGATAAAGATGCAAAGGGCCTTGGAAGGTCATGTCGACACTTTTCAAGCGGGGCGCGGCCAGTAAACGTGCGAAGGATGGGCCGAAGGGGAAGGATACAAGAGGAACCTTGGAAAGTCGCTCATCCTCACTATGCGGGTTCACTGTAAGAACCCCTGAGTGCAAGCACTGCTTCGGGACAACGGTGAGGAAGTCTCAGGCGAAATGCCCATCCCGTCCTGCCGACAAGTTTGTTGGTGCGACAAGGGTGAGTTATGTATAAATGAAAAGAAGATGGACGAGGAACTGGGGTCGTGGGGGGAAGGAAGGGGGCAAGGAAGAGTGCTCGACCTTGCTCGACCTCTCTCACTCCCGAAGGACATCGTTAGGGGGGACCCGCTCATGGAGGGTGGAACATCGGGCTGGAATCGGCGATACATCGCCGACAAATCGGAGATAGGCCCCCGATGTCAGATCCGCACGCTCCTGGGTGGGGTTGGCTATCATGCCTATATCGGCGATCAGTGTGCGATTTGGGACTGAGATCCGGCGGCTCTGGAGGATGCCTCGAGCGCCGCGGCCTACTCAGAGCGTGACGGAATTCTGGAACGAATTGATCCTCCTCCTAGCTCCGTCCGAAGCACACTGCTCGCGCTCCGTTGCGAATTGACCTCCCCGGCGAGCCAGGCCCCCGCTTCTTCCACTTCCTCCCCCGCCGCCGCCCTTCCGCGTGACCTAAACGCCCATTGGGGGTAGGAAGAGCGACCAAGTCTCGTCGGCTTTGCCTGCGTTGGTTATTGCACACAATGTTTCACACGATGCCATTCAGCTTCATTCGCTTGCCGCCCTCCCACTATCATGCCCTGGCCTTTCGTGGCGGGGCAGCCACCAGCGCAGCGCTCCCGTCCCCACATCCCTTCTCAAACACAAGCCAGTCCCAACCCTGCCGCCCACCTCTCCAGAGGCCGCCCTCCGCCTCGATCCTGCGGGCACTCTGTTTGAAGAGCGAGCGATAACCTGTGAAGCCCCCGTTTGGAGGTGGGGCAGGGTAGCCTTTTATCCAGCGTGACAAGAGAAGGTAGCCGAACGGCCGCCACTCCTGTCATTTTTTCCTCCGCCGGCGCCGACTTTGAGCGCTCCGCGGAGGAAATCGTTCCAACCGTGGTCGCCTTTATGCGGGGGGGACGACCTACCTCAAGCATGCCGGGCGCCGCTGGGGGCCGCCTCACGCAGGTGGGTTACACGTGGTATAGCACCGCACAATAATCCAACTCCCAGTTGCCGGTCCACTGGTTGTCTTTTAGGGAGTGAGGCTTAGGTTGTTCCGATTCCGTCTTCCGTCTTCGTTGTAGGCCGCGGGGCATCAGGTTGGCGTTCGCGGGGCAGGGGGAGCCGAAAAGGGGGATTATCTACATCAGTTGTCATTACTTCCATAATGAGAGGCCCCAAGAGCGCTTCGACAGCGCCCCAAGAGCGCCTCAAAAGCGCGCAACGAATTTCTACAATTTTGTCGAAATCCGTTGCCGACCCCCGCTCGCCCAAAACAGGCCCAAGACACCGCCTGAAAAGCTCCGAGAGCGCTCCGACAGCGCCCCAAGACCGCCTCAAACCCGCGCAACGAATTTCTACAATTTTGTCGAAATCCGTTGCCGACCCCCGCTCGCCCAAAATAAGCCTAAGACACCTCCTGAGAGGCTCCAAGAGCCTTCCGACAAGGCCCCAAGAGCGCCTCAAAGCCGCGCAACGGATGTCGACAATTGTGTCGAAATCCGTTGCTGACCCCCGCTCGCCCAAAACAAGCCCAAGACACCGAATTGGCGTTAGCCAGGACTGCTGCGCGACTGGTGCTAGCCAGGACCAAGGTCCCTTGGCAGGGGACGGGGTGCCAAGCATTCTGAGGCACCGCGGGACTGGCTTCTCGTCCTCCCTCTTCCTCCTCCTCCCCCCGTCCTTGCTTGGCCGCTCCTCCGCCCAAGCCCCACTTGGCCCGCTCCACTGCCTCCTCACTCCCCTCTCTAGGCCCTTGGGAATTCTGCCACGACTGCGGGCTAAGGCTATGCGCAGCACGCGTGCCCACCTAGCTCGCGATCCGTTGTTTCGGCCAGCCCGACTCAACATTCACGGCGGGATTCCCGGTACCCGCAGAGCCGCTCTTGTTTAGGCTAGGGCCGGCATCCGTGGAACTCTGCCAGGGCTGTGGGCTAGGGCTATGCGCCGCATGCCCAACTAGCCTGCGGCCCGTTGTTTCGGCCAGACCGACTCAACAAACAGGGCTGGAGCTCCAGGATTACAGGCCGCGCGATGTTACGCGATGTCCCAAGAATTCTGCTAGGATTATGGGCTAAGGCTTCGCATGGCATACCCAACTAGCTCGCGGTCCGTTGTTTCGGCCAACCCGATTCAACATTACAGCATGGTTCTTGGCATCCGCACCGCCGCGCTTGTTTAGACTAGATCGTTGCGCGCAGCTCCACTCCATTTTCCCTCATCGTGTCCACGTGGGGACTTCGCCCGGCTCGTCCTCATTCGATCCTCGTCCTCCCTCCTCCTCCTCCTCCTCCTCCTCCTCCTGCCCCCATCCTTGCTTGGCCGCTCTCCGCCCAAACCCCAGTTGGCCGTTCCACTGCTTTCGTGAAGCCCCAGCAATGCCAAGATTATTCCCCACATCCAAAGTGGGGTTCTTGCTTTCTCTTGACACCCCGCGCAGGAAGAGGAACACCCACTCGCTCACTCACTAACACTCACTCACCCACTCACTCAGACACTCACGCACTCACTCACTCAATCACTCACTCAGTACCATCAGCATCGTCATTGTCAACACCGCGTCACCAGCACTCGTCATCATCAGCACTCATCATCATCACCAATCATCATCATCACCATCATCATGTTCACCATCACCAACACCATCAGCCATCGATCATTCACCATCAGCATCATCACCAGCACACATCACCATCAACAACACTATCGCCACTCACTCAGTTATCATTTCCTGGCCACTCACGTGAATCCTCTTGACAAACCTGTACCAGTCGTCATGTTTGGCCCTATCGGCCTGAATATGGGGGGAATATGAAGCGGGAGTCTCGTTTGTGAATTGCGATGAAGTCTCAAGCGGGAGCCCCCTCCCTATGGGGCCCGCAGATCACGTTACTAATCCGAGCGGGCCATTCGAATCCTGTAGCTGTCGTCACTTTTGGCCTCCTCGTGCCTGAATATGGGGGCAGTTTTGGTCGGGAGCCTTGTTTGTGAGTGAATCGCGGGGAAGTCTAAGGCGGGGGTCCCCTCCCTATGGGGCCCGCAGATCTCGGTGGAGCTCCCTATGGGGCCACGACGCGCTGTACTGGGTGGGTGAAAAATGACAAATTGGGTTTCGGGACGCACGCGGACGGTCCGACTGGGGGCTTCGGTGGAGCTCCCTATGCGGCCACGAAACGCTGTATTGGGTTCGCGAAGATGCAAAATTGGGTTTCCAGGACGCATGCGGAAGGTCCCACTGGGGGCTTCGGTGGAGCTCCCTATGGGGCCACGAAGCGTTGTAGTGGGTGAGTGGGAATGCCAAATGTGGTTTCCGGGACGCATGCGGACGGTCCCTCTGGGGGTTTCGGTGGAGATCCCTATGGGGCCACGAAGCGCTGTACTGGGTGGGTGGAAATAACATCCCTATGGGGCCACGAAGCGCTGTACTGGGTGGGTGAAAATGCCAAATTGGGTTTTCGGGACGCATGCGGACGGTCCCATTGGAGGCTTCGGTGGAGCTCACGAAGCACTGTACTTGGTAGGTGACAGTGCCAAATTGGGTGTCCGGGACGCCTGCGGACGGTCCCACTGGGGGGTTCTGTGGAGCTCCCCATGGGCCCCATGGGGAGCTCCCCATTACAGCGCTTCGTGGCCCCATGGCATAGGGCCACGAAGCGCTGTACTGGGTGGGTGAAAATGCCAGATTGAGATTCCGGGACGCATGCGGACGGTCCCTCTGGGGGCTTCGGTGGAGCTCCCTATGGGGCCACGAAGCGTTGTAGTGGGTGAGTGGGAATGCCAAATGTGGTTTCCGGGACGCATGCGGACGGTCCCTCTGGGGGTTTCGGTGGAGATCCCTATGGGGCCACGAAGCGCTGTACTGGGTGGGTAAAAATGCCAAACTAGGCTTCCGGGACGCATGCGGACGGTGGCACTGGGGGCTTCGGTGGAGCTCCCTATGGGGCCACGGAGCGCTGTACTGGGTGGGGGGTGGAAATACCAAGTTGGTCTTTCGGGACGCATGCGGACGGTGGCACTGGGGGCTTCGTTGGAGCTCAATATGGGGCCACGAAACGCTGTACTGGGTGGGTGAACACAGGGAGGAGCGAGGAGGAATAGGGGGGAAGGAGGGAGGAGAAACACAAGGACCGTCTCTTCAAAACGAGGACCCAACACCACAGGATGGTTGGGAATTGTAGCTCTCGCCGTCTGAAGAGTTTTCAGCAGTTGCATTGATACGCGGTGTTCAAGTCCCAGGAATGGCCTTCTGGCGCGATTCAGGATCGCAGGGCGCAACAGTAACGTTGATTCGCAGCGTTGAAGTCCCAGGCGTGGTGTCCTGGCACGGTTCAGGATTCCCAGACGGCTGTCAGTGAAAAGGAATACTTGTGGGGACCTGTGAAGAGGGAATTCGGAGGAAAGATTTACTGCAACATCGTTGATGAGTCTTGGGGTTGCACTGGTCCTCCTCCTCCTCCTCCTTGGTCTTCGAATGCCTCGGGATGTCCCGAGGTTCTGAAAAATGATACAAAAACGCCCTCGAACCTCAAGGCCCGCTGTTCTCCATCGGAATCTCCTCCGCTCCGCAGGTGTGCCTGCAGAGATCCCCCCCGAGCCCTCCAGAGGCCCCGCAAGGGCCCGAAGACGTCCAACAACTCTGGCATCTGAGGGCCTTCGGCCCCCCAGGACAAAGATAACATCGGGTGTTAATAATTCGAGAATATCAGAGATCCAGCCGCTCTGGAGCACGTCTCGGGCGCCGCGGCCTTCTCAGAGCGTTCCAGAACGCTCCTGAGAGCGTTTCGGAACGCTCTGGAACGGATTTATCCTCGTCCTAGCCCCGTCCGAAGACGCCTAGGGTGGCGAGCGAGTCGCTGGCCGAGTTGCCGCGGTGAACAGCCTGCCATGATAGGGTCCAATTGTGATGCTGGGCAATAAAGAACGCTCGCTCCATCTGGGCCTGCAGCCGGGTTCCAACAACTCTGGCATCTGAGAGCCTTCAATAGAGAGCAGAAAACCAACCTCAGAATAAGCACACCGACAAACGAAGCCGTTTAGTAAACGCACCCATGGCAGGGCTATTTTGTAATCGCCCGGAACCGCTTAGACGTCAATTATCGGGGTCGGGGCGGTTGGTTCTCCCTTCATTCGTCCCCTCCCCCCCTCAGGGCTCTGGGAAGGAGCTTCCCATGCGCTTCTGCATCGCCGCTACAGGAGAACAGAACACCGCCCCCCCATCCTCCTCGATCCTCGGTCCCCCTCTATCCTCGAACATCCTCCATCGTCGATCTTCCTTGAGCCTCAATACAGCCATCGTGCTACCTCAACTAAGGGACGCATAATAGGAAGCGAAGTGACTTGTCTGGCCACGGCGAACCTCGGCCACGCAGAGGCCCCTCAAGCAGAAATCTGAGGAGAGGCCCGAAAACCGTTGCCCCTCCTGAGCCCGAAGTGGTGCCTGTTTCGGCGTCTTTCGAATGGGGCCAGGGGCATCCACAAAACAAGCACAAATCCCAGGATTCCCAAGACGTGTTCATATATTATGGACGTCCGTCTTCCCCTCCACTTCTCATATTTTTCTAGATTTTCCGTGGACCCGTCGATTGTCAGATACCCTTAGACCCGTTGATTTCTCCTGCTGAGTCTTGACTGTACTCCCCGATCCTGCGTAGGAGGCGCGCGGTCCCGAGTAGTTCATGGCACCGATCGCGTGCGACAAGCAGCTCACCGACGCGGCCGCCGTGCCCTCCTGCACGTCCGCAGCCGCGTCCTGGCAACGCTATCCAGCAGGGGAAGGGCGCCTTCCCTCCCTCTGCTCCTCCTCGTCCTCTTCGTCCTCCTCCTCCTCCTCCCTATTGCTCGCTCTCGTCCTCCTCACTGCTCGTCCTCAATATGTTTGCAATTATCGTCCTAGTCGTCGTCCTCCTCCTCCTCCTCCTCCACCTCCTCCGCCTCCTGCTCTTCCTCCACCTCCTCCTCCTCCTCCTCCTCCTCCTCCTCCTCCTCCCCCTCGTAATCAGCATCAGCAGCGTCATCATCATCAACGCAATCATATTTAACATCCTCATCACCATCGTAAAAACATCATCCTCTTCCGCGTTCTCCTCCATATCCCTCCTCCTCCTCCTCTTGCTCTTCCTCCTCCTCTTCCTCCTCCTTCCACTCCTTCTATCCTCATCCTTCCCATCCTCCTGTTCCTCATCCTACCCTCCATCCCTCCTCCTCCTCCTCCTCCTCCTCCTCCTCCTCTTCCCCCTCCTCCTCGTCATCCTCATCCTCATCCTCATCCTCATTATCGTCATCATCATCATCATCATCATCATCATCATCATCATCATCATCATCATCATCATCATCATCATCAGCATCACCATCATCATCACCATCATCATCCTCATCCTCATCCTCATCCTCATCCTCATCCTCATCATCAGCATCATCAGCATCATCATCATCATCATCATCAGCATCATCATCATCCCTCTTGTCATCCTCAATTTTCCTCCCTCCTCTTTTTTTTTTTCTCTCTCTCTCTCTCTCTCGCAGGACCCTCAGCTGTTCGCAATCCGCGCCCTCGCGTGCACGGGCCCCCCCGGACACCACCGGGGGACCAGTTCCTGGGCCGAGGCCACCAATGAAGGGGGGAGATAGAGGGAGCGGCGGGGCCACTCAGTGGTAGGTGCAGGCGGCGCAGGGGACGGCGTATCTGCAGCGTAGTACACGACGTACCTTGTCCGTAGCGCTGAAGACGTTGCACGTCCCTCCACCAGTCGGCAGCCTGTGTCAGTATCGAAACACCGATTGTTGTAGCAGTAGTAGCCTCCTCCCTCCTCCTATTCGTGTATATTTCCGGGTCTTCGGGGAACATAACTTGCACCACGTTTGCCGACTTTCGGTCTGTATGGCGCAATCGGGCACCATCCGCTCCCATCACAATCTTGACTGACTGATTCTTGGCATGGCACGCTTCGAGCCCAGTCCGAAGGCGAATGATGGCAACCACACTGCCCAGCGCACCACAGGGATCAACTGAGGCAAACAATACAGGGTCCTATGAAGAATGTTTTTTAACTTTCTTTTGGACGCACTTTTGGGTACGTAGCAAATGGGCTCGCCGGCGCGGCCGCGCGGCGACGCCCGCGCCCGGCGTTTCCGAGGGCCCCTGCCAGCGGCCCCAGGTCGTACTTATGAGTGCCCGCCCAGCTCAAAAGTACAAGTGCCCGATCGTGCTACACATGCGTTCACAAGTACGGTTCGCGGGAGACTTCTCCAAACTATACTTTTGAGACGGCCTTTTCACAGGTGCCGCCCCGTACTTCTGAGCGCCCTCCCCCCTCCCCCGCGACGGGGAGGGGGTTCGGCAAGGGCGGGGGGGCCGAGAGGCCAGGGTAACGAGCGCATTTACGGTGGCCCTCCCACCCGCCCTGCGGCGACAGGCCGCTCGCAGTTTGGAGTTGTCCAAAGGACCCCTGCGCGCATAGAATGTGTCAATTGCTTTCCATTGGCTGGCTTGTTGGCTGCCTCGTTGGCTGCCTCTTTGGCTGGGTCGCTGGAGGCCTTTTTGGCTGGATTGTTGACTGCCTCGTTGGATACCTTGTTGGCTGCCTCGTTGGCTGCCTGGTTGGCTGCCTCGTTGGCTGCTTTGTTGGCGGCCTTGTTGGCGGCCTCGTTGGCTGCTTCACTAGATGCCTCGGAAGCACCAGGAAACAACATCAGAGGACGGAAGCGACTTCCCCGAGGGCTTAAAGACAGCAAACACACAACTTACTCTGGAAGCTCCACCACGTCGCGCCGTGGCCAAGAACAATGCATTAACATGTCGCCCGTTGTGTGATAAGGAAGGAATTCCGTATGTAATGCATGACTGTTAGATACCACTGCAGTTCGAACCACATTTTAATATGCACTTCCAGCGGTGGGACGGCGATTGTTTGCATGTTGTTCCTGGCCACGTGCGGTTGCACCTCCATTGCGACGCCATGTCGACGAATTGTCCCGCCCCTTGCATGTCAATGTTGACGTCGAACGAAACCCCCAATCTGGGTGGACAAGATACGGCAAGCCAACATCGAAACGTTGGGGAAGGGATTTTGCAGGACTGATTTGAACGGGACGGTGCTTGAACTCGGGAAAACTGGGCTGCGCTGAAGTGACCCTGGATGCGCCGGGTTGCCTCCGCTGTGCGAGCAAAGCAGAACAATGCTTCAGCGGGGCGAAAATTGGATCCGAAGTCGGGGACAACCTGGGGGAATTGCTTCGGTTGCGAGAACACATGGGGTAATTGATGCCGGGGTCTGGTAGACAATGGGACAATTTCCAAATTAAAAACCAATGGAATTTCGGACTAGGATCAACAGTTACAATTTTTTGATCCCGGACCGAGAGAAGTCGTTTCGAACAAACTTTACAAGGGGAGGGGGGCTGATGCCCTGTTGGTAACTCCAAGGTTCTTTGATATGACACATGAACCTTTGCCCCGCTGTATCATCGGCTTCGCCTGCGCCGGGCGAGCAGCGCAGCGCCCGAATCGCGCCTGGCCCGCGCCCATGCCGATCCTGGGCCGCTACGAAGACATGCGCGGCCCCGACAGCGCCAGGCGCTCCGTGGGCTACGCCGGGCAATGCTCAGGCATTGTGCCGAGCGTCGCCTGGCGCCACTACGCGGCCGCGCAGCGGGGCAGGGCGCGTCAATCGACGACGAGGTGGCACGACGCGCGCGGCGCTTGCATCTGGGTCTATTTGAATACTCCCATAATATTTGAATACGTTTTGAATACCTATTTGAAAACCTCCGTTTTGTGGAGGGAACAGATGTTGGCCTTCTGGGTAAAAAAGAGTCATATGTCATTTCAATTCCACTACTCGCGCGTTGCATGTGCAAATGGTATTACAATAAACATTCGACTGGGTATTCAAATCGTCTTACAACAACGCTGGCGCTTTCCAATAAGGAAATTGCATGCGCGGCGCGGGAGCGGCCACCTTGTCGTCGTCCGCCGCGCTGGGCAGGCCACGCGCGGGGATCGCCCAGGCAATGCCTGGCGCGCCGAGCCCGCGCAAGCCCGCGCAGCTCCGCCGCGCGGCCCAGGGTCGGCCGCTCGCGATCCGGGCGCAAAACGGGCGCGGCCCTGGCGCGGGCCTGGAGCCAGCCGGAAGGAAGTCATTGCCACTCTATAGCCAACTCCTGCCCTTCAGGGGTTCACGGCGGTTGAGCCGACGGGCCTCGCCCGAGCTCCCCGGCGCCGACATGGGCAAAAGGGCCCCGCGACAGCATGTTTCTCTCGGGAAAAATAAAAAGCAAGAAATTGCCCCCATCTGGCCGGTGGTCGGCTGGCACGATGTCCGGGCACCCAGCCGTGGCGACTGGGCATCAAGTTTGCATTTTCCACGCCACGTGTTCTCGGTGGCGGGCCGCAGCGGAAAGCCGACTGTTCGCGGCGTCGGCGGCCGCGCAGGGCGCGGGCCATCGCTCCTCGAATTCATTGACCTTGGCGCGCTGGAAGGCCTTGCAGCGCCAGCCCGTGGACTTCGCCAGCGGAATCCAGATGGCCTCGGGCACGCGCTGGGTGGCCCTCTTGAGGCGCGCCGCGAACTGGGGCCTGGTTTCCTTTCTAGCTGACGAGTAGGTGGCCTCCTGCTTGCGGAGGCCACGGCTGGCGCAATTCCAGAAGCCGCAATCAAACGGGTTGACGTCTGGCGAGCGTTTCGGAAACTGCAGCGCCTCGATGGAATTATCGACCTTGGTGTGCACTGCGCCCCTTGGACTTGCACCCCGATGGGGTCGCCGCCCTCCAAAGCAAAACCATGGAACGCCCCTTGCCGGGGCACGCGCGGCGCAGCGCTGGCGACAAGGACTTCGAATGCATCGTCGACGCCTCCGCGGCGTTCCACTGCTTGGGGGCTCCCCGCGCAACCAGAAAATCGGTCACCTGCTTTTGCTGGCTCCGCAGGGTGCCAAATTCATCGGCGCGCGCGCTCAGGGTGGCCGCCAAGTTAGAAGCCTTCTTGGCTGCCTCGTTGGCTGCCTTGCTGACAGCCTTGTTGGTTGCCTCGTTGACTGCCTGGTTGGCTACCTTGTCGGCTCCTTCGTCGGCTGCTTGCCCACTGCCAGTCTTCTTGGCTCGCAACTTGCCACGTTGACAGCCCTCTTGGCTGCCTCGTTGGCTGTCTTGTTGGCACCCTTGTTGGCTGCCTTGTTGACAGCCTTGTTGGCTGACTCGTCGGCTGCACTGTCTGCCAACTTGACAACTTTGCTGGCTACCTCGTCGGCTGCATCGTCGGCTACATTATTGGCTGCCGCGTTGGCTGCCGTGTTGGCTGCCCCGTTCGCGGCCTCCTTGGCTGTCTCGTTGGCAGCCTTTCTGGCTGCCTCGTTGGCTGCCCTGCTGGCTGCCTCGTTGGCTACCCTGTTGGCTGCTATGTTGGCTGCCTCAGTGGCTGCCTCCTTAGCGGCCTCGTCGGCTGCCTCGCTGGCTGCCCCGTTGGCTGCTTCGTTGGCGCTAAGGCAAGCCCCGCAGAGTCCCATGGGTGAATGAATCTTTTGAGCGCACTTTTGGACGCGCGTTTGGGCACGTGGCGAATGGGCTCGCCAGCGCGGCCGCGCGGCGACGCCCGCGCCCAGCGCTTCCGAGGGCCCCTGCCAGCGGCCCCAGGTCGCATGTTGGGGCGCCCCCCCCCCCCCCCCCCCCCTGCTCAAAGGCGCAATTGCCCGATCGCACTTTCGAGGCGCGCCATCGAGAGCGCGGTTCACCAAAGACTTCTGCAAGTTATACTTTGAGACGACCCCCTCGAAATCCCGCGCCGTACTTTTGTTTGGAAGATGAAAGGGGGCGCGGTGTAAAAGGGGTGTGGTGTGGACGCCCTGCGCGCCCATAGAATCAGCGATGTGGGCGACTTCGCTGCGTTGCCATCTGCGGCGCATGCGGCCGAATCCGAGGCGACGCCGGCACCGCTGCTCCAAGTGGGCCACGGAAAGGTGGGAACGAATGCAGGGGGCACACAAACGATCGGATGGTAATGCGAAAACGGAAATGGACCTCTAGTGCGTCACATAAACGCGAATCATAAGCGTCGGCATGATTGACGCAATCATCGCGTTGAGGAGGTGTTCCGCGCAAGCCCGCCGTCGGATCGCGGGGCGCGCTCGGTGCGCCGGAAGGCTCGCGAATATGACCGACCCCACCGACTCGTCTACATGCGAAAGACCGTCTTCTACCGATCCTTCCTGCTACACCGCCCCGCGCGCAATTGCCCCGCCGCTTTCCAACGGAAGCGTTCATTCCCATTTGCCTTCCCCCGACCACGCCGCGCGCGCGGGCGCGCGCGGTAAGCCTGAGCCGCGCGACTCCGTCAAGGGGGGCGAAACGGGCGTTGGGGGCCCGCCCCCCATCGTCGGATTCGTTTGAACGCGCTGAATGGAAAGCGCGAGCTGGACATGGCGCCGGGCACAAGGATGCGCGGCCGCGCAGAGATAATCAGGCGCATCAACACGCGCCCTTCTGATTTGCAGCCCGGCGGCAAGCAGGGGCCTCGCGCGCGCCCCCCCCCCGACATGCATGACCCACGAAAGAAAATGCCACTCAGTCGGCCACTGGCCCAAGGAGCGCAGCGCGCGGACAATCGCGCGTCGCTGGTCGGGCTGTTTCGGCGATGTTCCACGGGGAAGCGCGAGCGGTCGCATCGGCGTTTCCTCGGGTCGGCCTAGCCAGGCGCAAAAGAACATGCGAATTGCGGTGTCGCGGCAAAGTTGCCCGCAGCACGCGGGCGCGAATGGGCTGGGCAGGCATTGGGGACAGGGCGCGGGGGAACATCAGATTCTGCGCGTTGCTGAAACGTCCGCCGAAAAGGGCCTTGGAAGACAAGACGGGGTCCGCGGCGATTTGAATTTGGCGCCGCGCCAAAACTGCGACGCAGGGCGGCCTCTGTTTCGACGTTCAACCCCCACCCCCCGCGCGCGAAACAATCGTCGCAACAGATGCGCTGAGCTGCGCTGCCCCGGCAAAACACAATGCGAGACACCTTCGGTGCGCCCGGCAAGTTCCCTGCATTTACCTTCGTGACTTCGCCGCCCTGCTGTCTAGTGCGCCGACTGGTCTCTCAGACGCGCTTTCATTGTCTGCCTCCTCCGCCGCCCAAGCCCCCCCTGCACCCCCCCCGCCCGCCGGCGCCCGCCCGCGCTGCGATCGCGCGCAACTGCGGATGAATATATCATGCTTTCGCCCGCCAGAATCCGCACAATCAAAAAACGAAATTTCGGAATTTCCGCAATTGGAAAACGAAATTCTGCAATTTTCCAAATGTGAAAAACTAGATTCCGGACGTTCGAATACTTGCATAATGGAATTCCAGAATTTCTGAAAATTCAAAACGGCTGGTTTTTCACTGGTAAACCGAAATTCTGGAAATTTCAAAGATTTTTTAATCGGAAATTCCAAAATTCGAAAAGCGAAATTCCGGAAATCCAGAAACTCCACGGCGAAAGCTTTGGAATTCCTAAATTCGAAAGCCAGCCCCCTGGAACCTCGGAGTCGCCAGAAGAGGTGGCCACCGCGCCGCGCGCCTTCATGTCCAAGGAACCGCCGGAGAAGTAAGAAGGGGCCTGCCCGGATCCCCTCGGGCGGCATCTCATCACGGACGCGCCCGCGGCGCCAAACTTTGCGTTCAAAACGAGTTTTCTGGCGAGAGACCCGACCGCGTGACTTCTGCAACTCCGCCGAGGAGGCATCGTCAAAGCTGGAGACCCCCATGGGCCCACGAAGCGTTGTGCGCGGTCGGATACGCGAATGCGAGCGCGGCCGCTGGGGGCTGCGGTGGAACCCCCCATGGGGCTACGAAGCGCTGCGAGGGGTGGAGAAACCGCAGCGAATTCTGAAGCTGGGGCCCTCGCTGGGGCCCCCCATGCGTCCACGAACCGCCGCGGCGGGCGCGGGGGGCGCATTCGAATTCCCTCGCCGGGGCCTTCGGTGGAGCCCGCAGCGCGCCACGCGCTGCGCTGAATGCGGAAAGCGCACGCGGTCTCCGCCGCTGGGACCTTCGGCGGCGATTCGCTTCGGGCTTCGAAGCGATGCGCTGGGCGAGGGGGGCGCGTGCGAGATCCGCCGCCGTTGCTTTCGGTGGCGCTCCATATGTGGCCACGAAGCGCAGCAATGAGCCGCGCGCGAGTTCTACCACTGAGACCTTCGAAGGAGTTCCCAATCAGGCCACCGAGCGCTGCGTTGGGAACGCGCGCGCGTGCGTGGGGGGAGGGGCCACGAGCGAGGGAAAATTCGAGGGGGCCCAATGCTGCGCGGTGGGGGTCGTAGGCCACTGATGATAGCAATCGCGGCAACGGCAAAGCCTGCTATCACCCACGCGCAATCACCGAAACGATAGCCACCGTGCAATGCTACCGCAGCAGCCATTGACAAAAAGACGTCGCCGACGACTGCAACCATAATTCAAAGGGATATCGCTGCCAACTGTACAACGCCGCGCGTGCGACGACCTCACATCCGCAAGAAATGCGGAACGACAGCGGGTAAACTCATAAGTTGGGTGGGGATGGAGAGCGGCGAGGCGCACATGAGGACAGACCTGTATAGGACGATCAAGGCCAGGGAGAGAAGGATGAGAGAGCTGAGAAGACGCTGTTTGTTATTCAAACGGAACCATGTTGTCGACAGTAACACGGCAACGCTGCACACCGGGCGCGCACGAACACAGGCAAAATCGAACAGCCGAGCAAACACAGAGTCATCGCATCAATGGCCGATTGGCCACCATCGCTTGGATGCGCCAGAACTGCAGTGCGAGAGCAATTGCAACCACGAACGCATGCACATCGTAATATGATGCATCAGCTCCAAAACGAACCACATCAACCATAATATCACCATACCGCCCCATTGAGCCATACCCTTTTGCACCGCACCCCTTTCCCCCATCTAGATTTTGAGCGCCCCCGCCTCCCTTGCGACCGGGGGAGGTGTTCGGCAAGGGTGGGAGGGGGGGCGGGAGGCCAAAGGGAACGCGCGCATGCACGGTGGCCATCCCGCCCGTCCCGCGGCGACCTTCGGCCGCTTGCATGTTGGATTTTTCCATAAGGACCCTTGCGCGCATAGGATCTTTTTTGGTTTCCCCGAATCAACGAAAGTGGAGTGGAGCAGCAATGGGACAAGCTATCACTGGTGATCTACTATATGCTTCGCTGCCTTGCGTCGCTTGCTGCTGATCATTCGGGCGTACCTTCAAATCCGCCGATGCTACTTCGGTAGAGGGAAACGATTCGTGGAAGCTACCCCACCCTCGGAAACTCAAAGTTGGCACACGCGTGCAAGACTGCGGTCCAAGTAAAACTCATCCAACCCACTGCCAACATTGATCATTGGGGGGGGACTGACACATGAATGTGGCATACGTGTTCACTAGTCTCTTCCGAGGCCTGTATTTCACCGTCTGCTTCCAAACAAAATAATGATCCTTCATTGGTGGTAACTTTCCAGGTTGTGAGGCGCGCCAGCAGCACTGCATTTTCGCTGGCTGCATTTCTCATTCGCCTCCTCTCCACGACGACTGCACCTTTCCCTTGTGCTGCAATGCCAAGGCCGTCTGAACCCCTCCTTCTCCTTGTCCTCCTCCTCCTCCTCCTCCTCTTCCTCCTCCTCCTCCTCCTCCATGCCTCCATGCGAGCTCGCGAGAGAGAGAGGGAGAGAGAGAAAAAAAAAAACAGAGACAGAGCGAGGAGAGAGAGAAGAGATGGAGAGACCATGTTTCGCAGCACACTGAGGACAAGCCGACCCTCGGGACGGACGGCCAGCAGCGGTCCCCAGTGCTGGGCCACACGGGCGACGCTCCTCCTCCCCCGCCCCCTCCCGTCCCCCTGATCCCCTCTCCCATTCCCTCCTCCACCCTTCCCACTCCCCCTCTCGCTCTCCCGCACTCCCTCCCCCTCCCCCGCCCCTCCCACCTCTCCTCCATCTCCCCCTCCCCCATCTCAGGGGCTCCGCCCCACCGATTGTCCTGGGGCGCGCGAGCAACAAGAACTGCGCATCTGCGCTCCCAAGGCCTCGATTCGGCCCACCGCTCGTGCGCCTCGTGCTTCCGTGGGGCTCCAGAGACCATCGGCTGGCCCCCAAGACGGCTCCAAAGAGCATCACATCAGCACATCATTCACTCACGCACTTCGCGCCGCCTGGACCTCCAGAGGCGATCCGCTGGCCCTCAAGAAGGATCAACGCATATTGTGCTGTTCGCTGGCTCTCGGCTGCCCTTGGCTGGCTCCTACGGATTGCTGGGAGGAGCCTCAATTCGGAACACCACTCGGGCACTTTGTTGGATTTCCAAAGGCGATCCGCTGGCCTTCGGGGCGGCTGAAGATCTGAAGATGGCCGGAGGGAAAATCAATTCTGCACACCTCTCAGCCAGCCTCTAGGGAGCATGAGTTCGGCTCCCCCCAAGGGGGCCCACAACGGGCCAAGAGGACCCCAAGAGGCTCCCAAGACGGTGCGAGAAGGTCCCAAGACGGCCTCAGAGCGTGCCGAGACGCCA